ACAACCGAGTAAGCAACATTACTGTTAGAAAATGACTACTGCCTCGACGAGCTATGTTTTGTGGCGTAGGAGTAGGTTGGAAGAAAACTAGGGTCTGCCAAACCAAAACATGGCAGAAATCCATGAAATCACTGACAAGTGGACTGAGTCATGTTGGTAGATGTAGGCTATCTGGTTGGGGTCCGCGAGACGAAAGTTACCGATGGTTAGAGACCTTAAATGACGTGGCTCAAAATCGTTTGCAATGGCGCAGGTGCATCCACTCCTTCTGTTATCTCAAATCCTAATCTTCTAAATTCCTCATAATCTCTGTCCTTCCCCTTCTAAATTTATCTCACTGAATTATACTTCTCGAACCATTTCTTCGCTCCCTAATCTTCTCCATTACTGCTGATACTTCTATTATTGTTGTCACTCTTGGATTTGAACTGACAGTTGCGTCTCTGTGCTGATGTAGTATGGCAGCCTGAACTGATGTACTTATGTACGAAGTTCTGCATTGTATCTGTCTATATCACATACACACATACACACACACATTCGTAATAAGTAAATCTTTTTATCGCCATTGTACTCAACAAACTAATTGAATGTTTAGTTACAAACTGAAGGTCTGAGGGCGAAGCCGTACTGTTGACTGTAGAGAGGTGTGACAGCAGTAAGATGTTTTCCTCAGACAACCAGCATCTGCAGTGATGCTAACTTCTTATAAGAAAAGAAGTGGTTATAAAAGTTCACATCATACCTTCACGGGTTTCCGTCTCCAGCGGGGAGGCCCCTTGGTCGGTCGGTCGGTCGGTCGGTTGCAACGTAGAACTTCGTACGTATGTACATGAGTTCATGTTGCCATACCACATTAGCACAGAGACAACCAGCATCTTCAGTGATGCTGCCTTCTCTCGAGGAAGGAAGGGTTAGAAAAATGTCGACCCTAAAAATGTCACACCTCACCCTACCTCACGAATTTCCGTCTCCGTCGGTAAGGTTGCCCACTAAGGGCTTTCAAGAGCGGAGCTAATACTCAAAAAACCCTTCATAAAAAGGCCGTGTGTGACCGGCCTGAAGCAGTTGTCCCTTGGACTCTGTGGCCACGCACCCAGGTCTCTAAGACCAGTTCGCTCTGTCCTACTATATTGATGCGAAACATGGCCGTTAAGAGTAGAGTACATTCGTTGGTTACTAGTCTTCGATCATAGGTGTATCCAAAGCAGTGCTCGTGTATCCTGGGACGACCGAGTAAGCAATCCTATAATTAGAAAACGAGTTCTAGGTAGGGATGAAAAATCAATAGATGACACATTGAAACTCCATCAGTTGAGGTGGTTGGGAGATGTGTTACGTATGGCTAACCACCGACTGCCGCGACGAGCTATGTTTTGCAGTGTAGGAGTAGATTGAAAGAAAGCTAGGGGTGGCCAAACCAAAACATGGCAGAAATGCATGAAGTCACTGACAGGTGGACTGAGTCATGTTGGTAGATGTAGGCTACCTGGTTGGGGGTTCCGCTAGACGAAAGTCGCCGATGGTTAGAGACCTTGAACGACATGGCTCAGAATCGTTTGCAATGGCGCAGGTGCATCCACTCTTTGTGTGCTTTTTAATTCTAACCTTCTGAATTCCTCATAATCTCTATCTTTCTCCTTTTAAATTTATCTCACTTAATTATACTTTTCGAATCATATCTTTGCTCCCTAATCTTCTCTATTGCTGCTAATAATTCTACTATCGCTATCACTCTTGGATTTGAACTGACAGTTGCGTCTGTGTGATGATGTGGTATGGCAACCTGAATAGATGTACTTATGTACGTACGAAGTTCTACGTTGTATCTGTCTGTCTTTCGAATTTTATCAGTTTTTTTTATGGCTTATTCTCTGCTTATTATAATGGGCACGTAACAACAACCCATACTGGATTTCTAAACTAAGATCAATAAAAAATTATTAAGTGAATGAATATATGCTAATTAAGACTGTTTTAATTTGATTTTCTTTTCTAAGAAGCGGTTAAATTTGATTCTTTTTGTAACAAAAATAACTAATATCTACTATCTAGAATTTTTCATTGCTTGCGTACTTGAATGTGTATATCTACGTGTGTGTGTGTGTGTGTGTGTGTGTGTAGAATCATGTGGATGCAGAAAGTTAAAATGAGCGAAAACAAAGGGTTGCATACTTAATGTAAACACACAATATTATTTGTTACAAGTTATTTTTTATCGTTGTTGAACAAAAAAACTACGAGTCAAATTGAAAAGTAGCACATTGTAAAATGAATGCTATATTTCGCGATTCAATGTGATTGTTTCATTGTGTGTTTGATTTGTGAAAAGGGTAGTTGGTGACTTGGTGTGTGTTTATAAGGTATTCGGTTGAGTTTTAGGTTCAAAGCCCAATCCAATCTTACATTGTTACGAGTATTCGAGTAGAGATTCTGGACGATATGGCTTAAAATCGTTTGTAATGGTGCAAAGGTATTCATTCTTTGTTTTCTCTGGACTTTTGAATTCCTTATTACTTCTAATTTTCTCTTTTTGAAGTTATCTCATTGAATTATGCTTCTTGAATCATATCTTCGAACCTTAATCATCTCCATAACTGCCAATACTTTTACTATACCTCTGGGATTTCAACTCACAGTTGACTCTGTGTGCTAATGCGGTATGGCAACCTGAACTGATATACTTAGGTATGAGGTTGTACGTTGTAACTTACTAACTGACTGATTTTCAAACCCCAGATTTGGAATTTAGCTCATATCTGAATTCCAATTATTAGTGTCAGTGTTCAACACTTTTGAACTTGAATATGTCAACCACTAAGCTACTAAGTCTAGATAGTGTAGGGTTCATCACTAGGTACGCTTGAAGCTATTACAAGTTCACCTTAGTCGATAAACGCGAACGAGACAATGAACCAGTGTCCAGATAGGCTACCTTGAATCCCAAGCTGTAAACAGAAGGCTTAGTAAGCGTGGAAAGTATATTTTACAAACACACAGCAATCACAATACATTAAGGCACACAACTCTCGTTTATTTAAACATAATAGAAATGTCCTTGGGCCAGTTACGAAAATAGCACACTAAAATACACAGCAGAGCTAATCACAGCCATGGAATTTCCTGGTGGGAAATGTGATCTCAAGGTCAACTGATCAGCCCATGCTCACAAATGTGAAAGAACTGGATGATTAGTGTTCTTATTTTGTAGGTATCGTCAGTTTCTTCAAGAGGATTACACAGTTAAGTCTTGCTAATGTCAGTCAGTCAGTCAGTCAGTTACAACATGGAACTTCTTACATGAGTACATAAGTTCAGGTTGTCATAACGTATCAGCAGAGAGATGCAACTATCAGTTGAAACCCAGTAGTGTTAGAAATAGTAAAAGTACTGGCCGTTATGGAGAAGATTAGGGTTCGAAGATATTATTCAAGAAGTATAATTCAGTGAGATAACTTGAGAAAGTGAAAGATAGAGATGATAAGAAAATTCAAAAGGTTAGAATTTAAAAAGAACACAATGAATGAATGTACTTGCGCGATTGCAATCGATTTTGATCCATGTCGTTCAAGGTCACTAAGCATCGGCCACGTTTCGCATTCATATAGTAGGACAGAGTGAACTGCTGTGCAGTAGGCTCGTCCTTTGGTTAGCAAACGGATATCTTACGCTGTTAATAAACACCAACTGACATGAAACCCGGGTTAAACAGGGTCTTGTTGCCGACTATCTATAACCTCTTACCATTAAAACGAAGTGTATACACTTCGATGAGTATAGCCAAATCACAATCGATCAATACAGATCAGAGTAAATCAATGATAATTGTTTTTCATAAGTTTTATCAATAGTAGGATCAAACCTTGTGGATAAATAGACTTCAAACTTTAAAACTATTAAGTAATAAGAAGTGTGTACGTAATTAAATAGTGAAAGGAGAATATAAACGGGATGAGGCAGAAAATTACCAAAAAAAAAAATACAGAATGTGAAAATAATGCTAACAATAGTAAAATAAAATCTCAAAAAAAAACTTTTCTTAACGTTGATTAAGTCATGTCCGGCCATGGAAGAGATAAGGGTGTCACGAATTCTTTACTGAACACATAAATTTGGCGGTGAATGTACGAATTCCTATGGCTTCTGTTATGTGTGTAGAAGACGGGATCGAATTCCATTGGGAGATGATGAAGATAAACGATTATTACGCCTGCACGTAAACACGTCAACTTGATATGCTTGAACTATTACGAGTTTATCTAGTCGGAAAAACGAGAGCGAGGATCGAGTATCCGGCGACACGACATGCTACTCAAATCCCATTATCCTAACCCCATATTTAGTGAAAATAAGAAGACGTGATATGAAGTAGAACCTGTATTCTACAAGCATTCAGAAAGTACGATGTCCGAATCCAGAGAGAATCAGGATCCCGGACTGGGGATCCAGGACCGGGTCCTGGTCCTGGTCATCAAATGTTACAGATAATACGTATTTATAGATTTTGCTCGAATGAGAAACAGCATCGAATTCTGTGGCATTGACAGTTAAGGTGACCAATAGGAAGTAACATTTGAATTGACAATGATAGTCAGGACAACCAATAAGAAACAACATTGGAGCACGTGACATTGATATCTAGGACGACTATAAAATTGACCAGTAGGAATTAACCAATAGGAATTGACCAATAATTCTCTTAGAATATTGGATGAATATCCATCCTAACAACGATAAATCGCTCGAAACGTTCTAGACTTATCTACAATGTGATCACTATCAACTAGAGGTGTGCTAAGATAGAACTGGCCCTTCATAAACCATGCGGGGAGATGTGTTTTCTTACTACTATCAGTACGTACCTGTCTTCCTACGATCAACTTATACTTTTGCCTATTATGTGTAATAGTGATGTAATCTCTATTTCATTTCATTGTGTTGATTATTGACTCATACCAAATTGCCTTGATTTGATTTTTGATATTTTTCGCCTTTCTATTATGCCTTTTTACTTCAGTGCACCAAATCATTTTACCGATGACTGGTTACAAAAGTTAAATCATGATGCTGAAATCAATTGGAGATTAAAGGTAATTTGTATATATATTTTTTCCCAATATTTTGAGATGGTGAAGAAAGGTGAAATAGGAACAACGTCAGTATCTTGATAGTTTTTACACGGGAAGCTTCTAGAATGTTCGCCAAGTATCGACTGGCGCTGATTGGATAGGAATTAGCTAATCAGCGCGCAACTAATGCAATCATACTTTAATCCAATCTATGTCCCGCTAACATATTACATTTGCTTGAATTGATTAATGATTGTACATTTGAACTGATCACAGTTGTTGTCATCTTCCTTCCTCTACATGATGGTTGTACTCGACTGTTAGAAATCTAGGGGTGGCCAGACCAAAACATGACAGAAGTGCATGAAGTCACTGACAAGTGGACTGAGTCATGTTGGTAGATGTAGGCTACCTGGTTGGGGTCAGCGAGACGTAACTCACTAATGGTTAGAGACGTTGAACGACATGGCTCAGAATCGTTTGCAATGGCGCAAGTGCATCCATTCGTTGTGCTCTCTCAAATCCTAATCTTCTGGATTCGTCAGCACGTCTACCTTTGTCTGTCTAACCTTATCTCACTGAATTATACTTCTTGAATAATATCTTCAAACCCTAGTCTTCTTCATTATCAATAATACCTCTACTATCTTTATCACTATGGGATTTGATTTGATATTTGCGTCTCTGTGCTAATGTGGTATGGCAACCTGAACTTTTGTACATACGTACGAAGTTCCACGTTGCAACTGACTGACTCGACTGTTGTGTGTGTGTTGATCCAATCGAGGGTCGCTGTTTAGGTTAGAGAATGTTAAGACTGAAAATTACAATTTTAATGTTCAAAGATAACATCATCATACTACTACTGTGGTGCGAGCTACTTATAAGTAGTATATGATGTGAGTGTCAACGTAATGTCTGGCAGCAGAAGAGAAGATGGGGGAAGATCAACAAGAAAGGAAGAGTTAGAACACAATCGAATTTGTATGAAACGCATGAATAGTTACAATGGATTGATGTTTGGCAACAGGAACAGTCCAGTTCGATATGATGAAATGATTGATATTTTGCAAATGAACGATTTACGATATGGTTTACCGATTTTACTGAGTAACTCTGTAATTTTCGTTGAGTACAATCCGGTTGCCCCACCTGTGTTCTTGTTCACTACACTACTACTGATTGTATTGGGTTGTGATAGTAGTAGTAAAGTGTGTTTCTCTCAGATAAAACCACTTACAATGATTGCTACCTTTATCATAATGAGAGATAGTAAACCGATTGGATTGGTAAGGTTAAGTGAGTGAGTGAGTGAGTAAATTTAAAACTTTCTAAACAAATATGCATATGATCAATCTCTTGTGTTTACCTGTCGTCATTCGCCTAAATCGGCAAGATCATGCCTAATTCAATTTTCCATTTCATTTATCTTGATGAAGGATATTTTGCCATAGTTTGAAAGATCTAGGAATGTAATTGCTCAGATATATATATTTTTTAGCCACAATCGTGCTCCCTCCCTGATTTTTTAGTGATTATATAACTAGGACCAGTTTATGTTGGCATTATCTGTTGTATTTTGACTTAAGTATTGCCCTGCAGTCAAGAATATTCACCGCTAACCTAGTTTACACGGAGTTAGGTGTATGCCGAGTAACAAACCTGTGAATGGTAAACCAACTCAAATCTATTCAATGTTTGTTTTGAACTCTTGAAGAGACTGCAAGTGTTCGCGATTAGTTCTATGTTTTTGAGAAACCAATATGTGAGATTATTGGCGCAAAAATTCGGCCGGTAGATCATTTGGTTTGTGTACTTTTTATGATTTGAATACTAGTTTGGATATCGACATCATAACGGCGCATTGCAGCTACTCAGTATCTACTGGTGGCGCATGACCACGAGTCATCTTTTCATCTATCACGAGGCACATTACTTCATGGAGTGTGTTAGTGTCTCCTGGCTTATTTACCCATATATCAAGGCTCCATCCTACTAATCCAACCACAGTACTATCCGGTCTAAATAAACAGATTGAGATACTGCGATTGGTTGTGTTTGTATCATGGTGGCATCAAAAGAGAAATCTCTTGGGTTCTTTGGGAGGATGAAATTACTATAACGTTCGTGTTCGATTGTGCCGAGTTCTCTCAAGAGGATTCTGACTTTGGCGGCGTCATCAAGTTTGTTGAGGTCGACCTTAAACAAATCCTCATACTTCTTGAACCAAGACTCGAAAGTTACACCAGCAAGGCCATCAAAATGAAATTCATGAATGGAATTAACTATCGAGTTTGTATGTGGATTATATGAATCATCGGTAAAACCTCTGTGATTCAGATTCATTTGTTTCATCTCCAACATCTTCAACATACGTTCCTGAAACTGTTCATATCGTTTTCCTTGACGTTCCAGTAAAGATTCTATCTGTTCAAGGGTAATTGACATTGTGGGTTGAACACTCCGTCGACTACCTGTGTTTGAGGTTATTGACATACAAATTCGGGAGGTAGCTCATTTGATTTGTGTACCTAATATAAATGGAATACTGCTTTGAACATCGGCATCTTAACGGCGATGTATAGTGACGGCGCCTGACCACTAGTTATGCTTTCATCTATCATGAGGCACATTACTTCGGCATATATATCAACGCGGGTTAATGGTAAAACACTTCATCTTACTAATCCGACCACAGTACTATCCTGTTTAAATAATCAAATTGAGGTACTTTCGATTGGTCGTGTTTGTATCATGGCTTACCAAGTTGAACTATGAAGGTCAGAAAACACAGCACACCTGCAACACTCTCATCCTAATCTATAAAAATATTCATCATCGTCTCAAAATGGTGATATTTCTCTTTAGTTCTTTTTCCTGATTCTCTGCTTCTGTTTTACTCTCTCTATCTTAAAAGGTTAGTAATCTGAAGAAGATATTAAAAGCTGTTGTGGAATTTTTAAATGAGGTTAGTTTGAGTGATTCGATTGTTTGTTATTGATTTTTATTGAAAAAAATGTGTCACCTTAATGTGATAATACACTGGTGATGTTGTTGTTAGGAAAACGGATACTAAGTGTAGGGATGGCAGCAAATCATTCGATGAAGTAGTGAATCTTTGTTAGTTGAGGTGGTTGGGACATGTGTTATGTGTGCCCAACCACCGATTGTCTCCTCGAGCTATGTTGTGTGGTGCCAGAAAACTGTTCTCAATACGTGTTTCACATGCCAAACCTGTCTGTCTAGCTAACACTCTTGTATCACCCTCTCTCATCGATCATGTGTGTTAGGATATTCATCTAATATCCTAAGAGAATTATTGGCCAATTCCTATTGCTTAGTTCCTACTGGTCAATTTTATGGTCGTCCTACATATCAATGTCACGTGCTCCAATGTGGTTTCTTATTGGTTGTCCTGACTATCATTGTCACTTCAAATGTTACTTCCTATTGGTCGTCTTAAATGTCAATGCCACAGAATTTGGTGCTGTTTCCTATTCGACCAAAACGCATAAATACGCATTATCTGTAACGTTTTATGACCAGGACCAGAATCAGTTCCCAGATCCCTAGTCTGGGATCCAGATTCTTTTCTGGCCTCGGACCTCCTACTTTCTGTATGCTTGTAGAATACATTTTCCACTTCATATCAAGTCTTCTTATTTTTACTCAATATTGGGGTAGGGATAATCGGATTTGAGTAGCATTTTGTGTCACCGGATCCTCGATCCTCGGTCTCGTTCTCCGACTATGGTAAACTCGTAATAGTTCAAGTATATCAAAATGGTGTGTTTACGTGCAGGCATAACAATGTGCGCAATCGGTTCACCGTGACAGTTCTTCAAATCCTCTAAATGGATTTTTTTTTCGCTCTCTAAATTCTGTTAGCAGCATCCCCTGTCTCTAGAGTGCAGTGAGTAAGACTTCCTTGACAGGGACTATACATGCGTAAACCCATATGAGAATATTTCGTATGATAGAGCAACCTCTCACCCCTGTCGTTTAAATCAGGGTATTCGATGCATTGGTTAAGTGATAGATTTCCATTTTGTAATCAGTGACACGATGTTCATCATATCCTAACTGTAAACCGGGTGATCTTAAATTGGAATTCGTACAAGATACTAGTTGATAGTGACGTCATCATTCATTCATAGTCTGATTTATTGGTTTGTCCGGTTTAACAACATACATTTCCGTAATATATCGCTTTTCTTTTGAACATTTCAATTCAGAGAATTGAAGATAGAATATCTGTACAATTCCTTCCAAATCTTCAAGAAATTGGTAAGTTTCTGCTTATCATTTGTATGAATTGTTTGTTGTTACTGTTGTTGGTCGACTGTGATGTCATTTATTTGTTTCAACACCTAATAATAATGGGTACAAAGGACTTACTTATGCCTGTTAACCCCAGTGGAGCTTAGGTCTCTGACCAGCATTCTCCAACCGACTCTGTGTCCTGCGTCTTCCTTTCTAGTTCTTCTGTCCAATTATTGTGTTATTCTTCTCATGTCTGATTCCAGTTCTCGGAGTAATGTGTTTTTTTTCGGTCTCCCTCTATTTCCTTTCGCCTTGAAGGTTCCAGGTGAGCGCTTGCCATGTGACACCACAGTTAGTTGCTTTCTGAAATGTGTATCCTATCCATTTCCACCGGTTCTTCCTGATTTCCTCGACCACTGGAATCTGGTTTGTTCTCGCCCACAGTAGGTTGTTGCTGATTGTATCTAGTCAACCGATCCGAAATATTTTGCTTATACAAGTTGTCTTGTCTTCTGGATGATGGCTTTCGTGGTTCTTCAAGTTTCCGCTCCGTACACTAGCACTCTCTTGACATTTTTACTGGTTGTTCGCTGGTAGCTGTTTTAATTTCAAAATGTTCTTCAATTGTAGAAATGTCGCCTTTGCTTTGTCGATCCGCGTCCTTACATCTGCATCGGATCTACCTTGCTCATCAATCATGCCACCCAGATATGTAAAGGTGTTAACGTCCTCTAAGGCATCTCCATCAACCGTGATTTGGTTGGCGCATGTTGTGTTGTGTCAGAGAATCTTACTTTTCTCTTTATGTATGTTGAGAGCTGCTGCTGCTGAGGCTACTGATACACTGGTTGTTTTGCATTTGTTGTTGCATGTGTGCTAGAAGAGCCTGATCATCTGCGAAGTCCCAATTGTTCAGCTGCATCCTGGCTGTTCATTTGATACCGTGCTTCCCTCCAGATTTTCGCGTCCTGATAATCCAGTCGATCATCAGGAGAAAGAGAAAGGGTGTGAGTAAGCAACCTTGCATGACACCAGTCTTCACCTCGAACGAGTCTATCAGCTTCCTTCTATGCATGATTTCGCAGTTTAATCCATTATAAGAATTCCGTATGATGTTGACTATCTCCTCAGGGACGCCATAGTTTCGAAGGAGCCTGCATAATGTTGTCCTGTCCACACTATAAAATGCTTTCTCGTAGTCAATGAAATTGATGTAGAGTGATGAGTTCCATTCAATTGAATTTTCCACAATGATCTGTAATGCTCTAATTTTGGTCGGTTCTGGTACAGAGGAACCCCTAAATATTTATGCGGCACAGAAATTATTGGATATATGAATAGATTGCGACATTGTCCGGGAGGTTAGGTTCTAGGGTACGAGACTGAATGTCGTGAATTCGATTCCCATGATTGTAGGTTGTAGAGGCGCTCTGCTGATAAGTCTCAGTGCCTCCACGTCTAACACAATGATCGATTCATGATTTCACAGAAACTCAACAATTTCCACAGCTCTATGTTGAGAAAAATTAATCAAATTTTGTTATATATTATTTGCATTACTCATGAGTAGTTAACAACTTTCTGCTAAAAATGTATATCGTTTACTCGTGCAGAAACCCAAGGCCCAGTTGAATATGTTTCTAAAAACGTTTTTATACTACTTATTTATGTAGTTAGTAGTGTGATGAAGTCGATTTTAATTTCGGTGTTTCAATAATCAATCCTATTGGTCATCATTGCATAATTCTTTGAGGTGTTGTTTATATTTTTTCAAGCTGAACATGAAAATGAAGAGGATACATTTCGTTTACTCCAGTTAATACTTGCATGTGCTGTCAATTGTGACAATAAACAAACTTATATTCAAACAATCATGGGTATGGAAGAAACTGTACAACAAGCCCTGATGGAAGCAATTCAACAAGTACGTCTATGTATGTATGTATGTATGTGTGTGGTTTAGGTGATGACGACTGTTTTGGTTTTAAGGGCTTTTTCAATTGGTAAAGTGTATATTTGTTATGGTGGCGTGTTGTGGTTCGCTGAGCTGGATGTTTTGGTTGTGAAACTTTCATTAATTCTCTGAGTTGAGCATCATCAACACAAACTTCAGGTGGAAGAAGTGAAGTAGTTTCCGAATTTCTCCACGTATGAGTCGTCGCTCGTCCTATTGACTTCGATCATGATTCAGTCAGTTAGGAAGGATTTGATTTTGAACAATTTGGTCTCGTGTGCTATTGCGGGTATGAGGGCGGTTATCACTTCCCGGCTGCCCACACCACAGAAGGGTGTTGCTTGAGGAACCTGAAAAGGAAAATAGATTAGTGATGGTCTTAGAGACCTGGGTGCGTGACCGCAGAGCCCAAGGGACAACTGCTTGAGGCCGGTTACGCACGGCCTTTTTATGAAACGTTTTTTGAGGATTAGCTCCGTTCTTAAAGTCCCTTAGTGGACACCCTTACCGCCGGAGACGGAAATCCGTGAGTTAGGGGAGGTGTGACATTTTTAGGGTCGACCTTTTCTAACCCTTCCTTCCTTGTGAGAAGACAGCATCGCTACAGATGCTGGTTGTCCGAAGGAAACACCTTACTGCTGTCACACCACGCAACAGTCAGCAGTACGACTTCGCCCTCAAACCTTGGGTAGCTGCTTTTAGTTTCATCGTTCTCCAATCAACCTGCCTGTCATGGTAGGACCTTCAGGAACATCTGTTCCAGCCAGTATAGCTCGGTTAAGTCATCACGATATGCAAGCCCGACCACCACGTCAAGGTAGCAGCTACGGTCGGATCGATCATGATTGGGTGTTAGTGACCTTTAATCTGTCGTTATCTAACTTATATTTGAAGTTTGTGCTGATAAAGTTGTTTAGAAAGACAATAATGAAAGCTACAAAACCAAAATATCCAGCTTAGAGAACTTAAAACTCCACCACAATCATCCATTCACCGGAGTTAAAAATTTTCTCCACCATTGTACTCCTCTTTTTAAAGACTCCAGTGAGATCACTTATGACCAAATTGAGATATTCGATGGTATGAGACGTTTCTATTAAGTTGTTCGGGCTTTGACTCATTTGTTGGATTGAAGCCCAAAACGTTATTGTTATTTGGTTGAGAAGTTTTTTTGAGATTGTGTTCTTGTGTGTGTGTTGTTGATCAATTTTCATTAAGAAATGGTCTTTTAGTGGCCCGTTATTGTTATGCTCTTCAGCAGTTGATATGCTTGAATGCTATAACGAGTTCACTCTTAGTCGGTAAACTAGAGCAAAGACAAATGATCCATTGACAGGATAGGCTATTCGAATCTGAGTGTCCCAAGGCCCCACTAAGTGGAGGAAGAAGTCTTGACAAGACTGTTACGCCTGCACGTAAACACGTCAACTTGATATACTTGAACTATTACAAGTTTACCTAGTCGGAAAACGAGTGCGAGGATCCGGTGACACGACCTGCTACTCAAATCCGATTATCCCAGCCCCCATATTTAGTTAAAATAAGAAGACATGATATGAAGTAGAACGAGTATTCTACAAGCATCCAGGAAGCACGAGGTCCGAATCCAGAAGAGAATCAGTATCCCGGACTAGGGATCCGGGACCGAGCCCTGGTCCTAGTCCTGGTCATAAAACGTTACAGATAATGCGTATTTATACAGATAGGAAACAACATTGAAGTATTTGACTTTGACAGTTATAACGACCATAATTTTGACCAATATAAATCGACCACTAGGATTTGACCAATAATTCTTTTAGGAGATTGGATGAATATCCTAACAAAGACGTAGAAAGTGTATTCTATTAGCACTCAGAATATATCAGGTCGACAAGCACACAAATCGAATTTACTTATACGTAAAAGGAACGTCTTTGTGAGAGCCACAAAAATAGTAAACTAAAATATCACATCAACCAATGACAGCCAAAGATTTTCCGAGTGGGAAATGTAATCGTTAAGGTCAGCAGATCATCCCATGCGCGAAAGCGTAAAATGCAAAATTAGGACCTTTATCAAGTGAGTTCTGGGGATATAGAGTCCTCAACAGCTATTTATGAACAGTCGAATGTTCTTTGAAATAAATTTATCCTTCAGTTTCTCCATATCATTCTTAGTTGAACATCCGTCTGTGAGACGGCTGTAATACGAAGCCCATTATGGATTCGGTTGAATGAGTTTTTTTTTCAAGCAATTATTCGTGCAGACAGATATGAGAATCAAAAGCATACAAGCAAAACGAAGCGATGTTGAAAAGCCGAACCAGCCAACTCACTTAAATGGGGCATGACTAAACAACATTCATGGTCAGACAAAAGTAAACCAGCCATTCTGTAAGCGAAGTAAGCAGGCGCACGTACACTCAAATCAGAACAACCAAGGTTATGAGCGAATAATTGTCAAGGTCAAAAGACATGTGAACAAATTATTCGCGAAGAATGGATTGTTTTTCTAGTGAAATCGTGAATCGATCATTGTTAGACGACCATTGAAAAACTGGAAGCACTGTACTGCTATTTCATGACTGTGTCAGCCGAAATCGAACCCAGGAACTTCAGTCTCGCGCTTGAACGCTCACCCTCTAGACCACTGAGCCTAAATCTAAAGGTGTTAATGTTTAACTTTGATCAGTCTGAGTGACCAGCTTCATGAAGAAATTTTCGAAGTTCCAGTGAGAAGCTGTGAAAAGTGAAGTTCAATCTTGTTGGGTGTAGGCAGTTACTTTCTGAAGACAATGAGTGAGGTTGCGCAAAATCGTTGAATTGGTCGAAGGTTGTGAGTTCGATTCCTGTGGGCAGGGGCCGTAGATGAGTACTTCTGAAAAGTCCCACACGAAGACGAAATGACCATTCAATGCAACCAGTTTTCTAATGGTCAGTTAATCAGTTACAACGTACTATTCCGTGCGTACGTACATCAGTTCAAGTTGCCATACCACATTAGCACAGAGAGATCTAATTGTCGATTCAAATCCCATAGTAGTAGAGGTAGTAGAGGTATTAGTAGTAATCAAAAAGTTGAATGATCGAAAATATCATTCGAGATGTTATACCCCATAGGAATTGACTAAAAAATGGAGGATAGTAGGAAAAACCGTCATGAGTAATTCAGATCAGGATTTGAGAGAACACAAAGAATGCTGATCTAACGGTGATTGATCTACGATTTCAACGGAGAAAAAATCAAATAGTTTTTATACGCGCACATGAGCGATTAATATATTGAGGTTTCTCAATGGACAATTTGAGATCCATGTTGTAGGATGCAATTAATGAGAACGTAAATAATCCGACTACCTGCCACATGGCAACACTTTAACGTTAATCATCCGCATGCTAATCCTGATCTTAGATGCTATCTTGACGCGGTGGTCGGACTTGCCTATTATGACGACCGAACCGAGGTATATTGGCTGGAATATATGTTCCTGAAGGTTCTACCATATCAGATTTGAGAGTGGTGAGACTGAAAGAATCAAGTTCTCTTCTGAGGGTGAAGTCGTACTGCTGACTGTTGCGTGGTGTGACAGCAGTAAGGTGTTTTCCTCAGATAACCAGCATGTGCAGTGATGCTGCCCTCTCACAGTGGATGGAAAGGGTTAGAAAAGTTCGACCCTCTAAATGTCAAACCTCATCTTACCTCACAAATTTCCTCTCTCCGTCTGTAAGGCCTTTTAAAAAAGAGCGGAGCTGACACTTCGAAAATATCCCATAAAAAGGCCTCAATCAGTGTGGTGCTTTGGGCTTTGCGGTCATGCTGTCAGATCTTTAAGACTAACACTCATCCAATATGTATACCGTCATAACTTGAACCAACAGTCAATGCTTTCGTGGTCTGATACCACATTTCTGGATGATTACATCTTGTTTACTTGTAGCAATTATTTCACATCAAGGCAGATCATTTTTAGGCTCAAATGTACCAAACATTTCGGTCGATAACGATTCACAACTCCTAACACAATCCACTATGATTACATTTACCCTTTTCACATGAATATCATGTGAATGAAAGTTTGTATTACTTGTTCAAGTTTTTTCTTCCTGGTCAACATGTATGTATTTTTTTCACTTGTATTCACACTGGTCTCATTTAAAATTTTCATATAAAGTACATTTTTTTTCTCGCCAATCAAAGTCACTCTTCAATTCTCACATGTGTCAGGACACATGTACATGTCTGCCTTCTTACATAGTGTATGTCTTACCATCCATCATCACATTCTATGTAAGGTCTGTGCTGCTCACGTGTGCTAAAAGTGTTGTATGTATGTTTGTCTTTCTATCTTTTGTTCGTACGTGTGTGTGTGTGTGTCTTTCTATTGACTTTCTTTAATTTTATCGATGTCGTGACCTTAAAAATTTACTTTTTGCTTTTAGAAAAAAAATAATTTGAGTTCTCTGTGTGTGCAGTACACACACACACACAAATCGACTGACTGACACTCACACACACACGCACACACACACACCGTGTCGGTAAAAAAACACCGTCAATGCGTATTTCTGTGTACTTAATCATCATCATCATCTTGATTTGAATCGCTGTCAACAATTGTTCAATTGTGTTTGTTTTAATTTGCATTTCTTCTTCTACTACAAAATGGCAGCTTTTCAATTCTCAAGGTCATTTCAAGGTTTTGATTGTTGAGTGTTTTTTTAGTGCGAATAGTAATAATAATAATAATGTAATTATTATTGATCTCATCATCTCTTTTATTTAATAATAGTGATTATTATGAATATTGATTATTTATTCTTGTTTAAATTGACTATTTCTGTTCAATCATTGTATAAATAATTCAATACTGAAGAGGTATAATCATTCTCTTCTGTTTTTCTTCAAAATAATTCATGTTATTATGTCATCGTTATTATACACATGATCATATGTATGGATTAATGACCGCCGATTCACCACCGCTGAATTGGTCAATAAAATCTTGTTCATTTTAATTTCCTTCTTATTTATTTGTGTTTTAGTTAATGTCAACTCGTTTGAACATACATGATACCATGGATTATGAAGATCGAGTAAGTTTCAAAGTTTCTAGTTTTATGTTTTTACGAAGGTTTTGTTTATTATTATGTTCGGTTAGTTAGTGATTGTGATTACTGCCTCGATGAGGTTTGTTTTGTGTAGTGTAGGAGTAGGGGCGGCCAGACCAAAACATGGCACAAATCCATGAAGTCATTGACAGACAAGTGGACAGAGTCATATCGGTAGTTGTCGACTACCTACCAGGTTGGAATCCGCGAGATGATAATAATCGATGATTGGAGACCTTGAATGATATGGCTCAAAACCGTTTGCAATAGCGCCGGTGCATTTATGCTTTGTGTCCTCTCAAATCCTAATCTTCTGGATTCATCAACATCTCTAGTTTTGACTTTCTTAATTTATCTCACTGAATCATATTTCTTGAATAATATCTTCTAATCCTAACCTCTTCGATTACTTCTTATACCTTTACTACCTCTTCTACTATTGGATTTGAATTGACAATTACATCTCTGTGCTGATGTGGTAGGGCGACATGAACTGATGTACTTACGTACGAAGTTCTACGTTGTAGCTGACTGAGTGAGTCAGTGATTGTGATTCCTTTTTTTACATTAAAATCGTGAATCAGTCATTGTTAGATGAGTATTAGAAACCCGGAAGTACTGGATTGTTGTTTTGTCTATTGTGTGTGCTTCCTCAGCAGTGCACCTGCACGACCTTTATTACTTACCTACTTACGCCTCTGTCAGCCTCAATAGGGCATAAGGCCACTGACCAGTATTCTCCAGCCTACTCTGTCCTAAGCTTCTCTTTTCAATTCTGACCAATTTTTTGTTCATTCTTCTGATATCTTTCTCTATTTCTCGCCGTAATATGTTTCTTGGTCTTCCTCTTGGGGGTTCCAAATGGGGCCTTATCTTGTGACGCAGTTGGGCGGTTATCGAATTTAGAAACTTCAGTCTCACTCGCAAACGTTTAACCTCTAGACCACTGAGCCTGTTGGGGTTTCCCCGCGTGGGTTCGGATCCCATCCCCGTCCCGACCGAAGCTGCTACCTTGACGTGGTGGTCGGGCTTGCCTATCGTGATGACCCAACCGAGCTATACTGGCTGGAACACATGTTCCTGCAGGTCCTACCATGCCAGGCAGGTCGATTGGAGAACGATGAAACTAAAAGCAGCTACCCAAGGTCTGAGGGCGAAGTCGTACTGCTGACTGCAGAGGAGTGTGACAGCAGTAAGGTGTTTCCCTCGGACAACCAGCATCTGCAGCGATGCTGCCTTCTCACAAGGAAGGAAGGGTTAGAAAAGGTCGGCCCTAAAAATGTCACACCTCCCCTAACTCACGGATTTCCGTCTCCTTGGGTAAGGGTGCCCGCTAAGGGCCTTTAAGAACGGAGCTAATCCTCAAACAACGTTTCATAAAAAGGCCGTGCGTGACCGGCCTCAAGCAGTTGTCCCTTGGACTCTGCGGTCACGCACCAACACTAATCCATCTTCCTTTTCAGGTTCGTCAAGAAACAACCTTCCACGGTGTGGGCAGCCGGGAAGTGATAACAGCCCTCATACCCGTAACAGCACACGAGACCAAATTGGTCAAAATCAAATCCTTCCTACATTCCCTAATACCTCTCTTATCTCCACAACTAACTCTTCTCACATTCATTTATTACAGTGCACAGCTAATGCAAACGATGCGAGTTTGCGAAACGTCGTTCCTGGTCTCCTTAAACCCCGTTCCAAACTACATGTTGGAGCATTCAATGTACGGACATTGTGTCAAATAGGGCAACAGGCATCATTAGCTAGGACTTTAGAATCTCGTTCCATCGATGTGTGCTGCGTCTCGGAAACGCGCATACAGGATCCGAGTAGCATCACTCATTTGACCTCACCATGTCAAGATAAAGAAGCAGCTCGATTTACTTTTCGTGTATCCGGTAGCCATGATGCTGCTTCCAGGGGCCTCGCCGGTGTAGGTATAGCATTGAGTCGTAGGGCAGAACAATCTCTCCTTGACTGGATCCCTGTAGATAGTCGCTTGTGCGCCGTCCGACTGAACGGGACAGTAAGGATTCGGAAAGATAGGGACACTCGCCGTTGCCTCTTCGTCATATCAGCCTACGCCCCCACTGACTGCAGCCCAGATGATGTAAAAGATGAGTTTTACAGAAAGCTTTCGGACCTCCTCCAAAAAGTTAAGCGCTCTGATATAGTTATAATGGTGGTGACTTCAATGCACAAGTAGGTAGACTAAGTGAAAATGAAAGACACCTAGGTGGATGTTACGGTCTCGCGGCTCAAAGAACAGACAATGGCGACCGTCTGTTGCAACTGTGCTCAGATAACCAACTATTTCTAGCAAACACTAATTTTAAGCATAAGGAAAAACATCTTTTGACCTGGCGACCCCCGAAGTCGTCTCAACGTTGGACACAACTAGATCATATCGCCATCAGCCACCGATGGAGGGGTTCGATAGAGGACTGTCGCTCTTTCTGGGGCACATGTTTAGATTCAGATCATGCCCTAGTGCGAGCACGTATTTGTTTGAGGCTTGCTGGACGTAGGAAAGACACCGTAAGGAAGCCTCTTAGGGCTTTACTTGATGATAATCAAACTGAGAAAATATTTCAGGAGGAACTAGAAAAACAGTTAGGCGGCCATCCAAGTGATTCTCATCCGGAGGCAGGTTGGAATCATATCAAAAAGGCTGTGGAAACAGCAATGGTCTCTGCTAGCAAGGTAAACCACAAGGCTAGGATGAAGCAGTGGATTTCAGTCGCATCCACCGAACTGATGGATGCTCGAAAACGCATCCCACCTGACTCTGAACATGATGAAGAGCGTAGTCAGCTTAGGCGCAGACTTATAAAAAGCCTACGTAACGACCGTGAACAGTGGTGGGTGGCGAAAGCAAAAGCGATGGAAAAGGCAGCGGCAATAGGCAACACTAGACAACTTTTCCGCCTTATTAAAGAAACTGGTATTAGGAACCCGAATGTGAGTGAGACTATCTCGGAAAAGGATGGTCTTATTATCCATTCTCAATCTAGGAGGCTGGACCGATGGGCAGAACACTTTAAGGATCAGTTCAACTGGCCTTCAGCCACACTTCGGTTGCCCACGATCTCCAGTCATCCTGAATGGCAAATCGATTTAAGTCCTCCCAGTTTACATGAAGTTGAGAAAGCTATAGGAAATCTAAGGAGAGGTAGAGCGGCAGGTCCCGATAGGCTTACCCCTGAGATGTTTAAGGATGGTGGTCCAGTTTTAACGGTTAGACTGACCGAGATCCTAGGTAGAATCTGGGAAATGGACGTAATCCCATCTGACTGGTCTCAGTCGCTAATTGTCCCAATCTACAAGAAAGGACAGAAGTCCTCTTGTGACAATCACAGAGGAATAAGTTTAACTAATATAGTTTCTAAATTGTTAGCCTCGATTATACTTAGACGTCTAACTAGAGCTCGTGAAGTGCAGACTCGAGAAAACCAGGCTGGTTTTCGACCTGGACGTGGTTGTATAGACCACATCTTCACATTACGACAGGTCCTGGAACACAGACACACATTTAGACGTCCGACAATAGTCGTGTTCCTGGACCTTAAGGCGGCATTCGACTCAGTGGATCGTGAGGTTCTGTGGCAGTGTCTGTCATTGAAAGGTGTACCAAAGAAGTACATTAACCTCATACAAGCACTCTACTCGAACACCACTGGTCGGGTGAGAGCATATGGCGAACTGTCATCTGAATTCTCTACATCAAGTGGTGTCCGTCAGGGCTGTCCACTCTCTCCATTCTTGTTTAACTTTGTCGTAGACATCCTGTTAGAGTTAACATTAAGCTCGTCAGATTTTTCAGGGGTTGACCTTCTACCAGGAAAGTCGCTTACTGATCTAGAATATGCCGATGACATAGTTCTATTCGGTGAAGACGCTGACAAAATGCAGAGTCTTCTGACTACCATAAGCAACAATGCGAGCATGTTCGGGATGCGGTTTTCCCCCTCGAAATGCAAAATGTTGCTTCAAGACTGGGTTGCATCGGCACCTGAACTAGTGATACGGAGTGAAGTAGTCGAGCGTGTTGATAACTTCACTTATCTGGGGAGTCTCATCAGTGCTGACGGTTTGGTGACTGACGAAATCTCAGCTCGGATACAGAAAGCTCGATTAGCCTTTGCCAACCTGCGTCACTTATGGCGTAGGCGTGATATCCGTTCGCTAACCAAAGGGCGGGTGTACTGCGCAGCAATTCGTTCCGTTCTCTTATATGGCTGTGAAACATGGCCAGTAAGAGTAGAAGATGTCCGTAGGTTACTGGTATTCGATCATAGATGTTCAAGAAACATTTCTCGTATATCGTGGGACAGCCGAGTAAGCAATGCTGTCGTTAGGAAACGAGTACTAGGTAAGGATGGCAGATCAATTGATGAAGTGGTGAAACTTCATCATTTGAGGTGGTTGGGACATGTGTTACGTATGCCTAACCACCGACTGCCTCGACGAGCTATGTTTTGTGGCGTAGGAGTAGGTTGGAAGAAAGTTAGGGGCGGCCAGACCAAAACATGGCACAAATCCATGAAGTCTCTGACAAGTGGACTGAGTCATGTTGGTAGATGTAGACTACCTGGTTGGGGTCCGCGAGACGATAGTCATCAATGGTTAGAGACCTTGAACGACATGGCTCAGAATCGTTTGCAATGGCGCAGGTGCATCCACTCTTTGAGCTCTCTCAAATCCTAATCCTCTGGATTAGCCAGCACCTCTACCTTTGTCTTTCTAACCTTATCTCACTGAATTATATTTTTTGAATAATATCTTCAAACCCTAGTCTTCTTTATTAACATTAATACCTCTACTATCTTTATCACTATGGGATTTGATTTGACATTTGCGTCTCTGTGCTAATAATGTGGTATGGCAACATGAACTTATGTACATACGTACGAAGTTCTACGTTGCAACTGACTGACTGACTGACTGAGCCTGTATCCAATATCTGACTTTGATCAATGCATGGTATTGCGCAACCTTATTCATTGTCTTCAGTAGGTGACTGTTTACACCTGACAGGGTTTTGAATCCCACTGGTCAGGACTTCTTACTGGAACTCGGAGAATGTTCTTCAGACTAGTGGAGTAGATTGTAATTGATGCTTACTTACATAAACAGATAAATGCAACAATTCTCACTTCAAATGTCGGGAGAGAGGGGCATTAAAGCTGACTGACGAACGTAAATATGTGGAAGATCGTCTATCAAGAGAAGGAAATATAAAATATAATAAAGAAGCTGGCCAGAAAATATCGTAAACCAGAACGACCAGTGAAAAATCAGCAAGGCAAAATAATGACCAACGTGGAACAACAGGGAATTAGGTGGGCGGAGCACTCTAATGATCTTTTGAGTAATAGACCAACCTAAAGGAATTCACTCAACATCGAAGCAGCACCAACGGACCCCCCAGTTGATGTTGACTCATCAACAATTGAAGTGATCAACATGGCCACCAGAAAAATCAAAAGTGGCAAACAAACTGGGGAAAAGCTAGAGCGTTAGATACAACACAGCATGCATCAAACAGATCACACTTGTCAGAGAATGTTTGGAAGATGCGGAAACTTCAACATATCGATACAACAGTAGTATCATTTTTATAAACAAGATGGATCCATTGCAGACGTAAAGACATAGATTGATAAAGTAAGGACATTGTTGCAAGAATTGAAGAACATCTGTCAACCAACATCAAAATCACAGTTTTTAAATACAAATGTAAGAACAGACCGATAGTATGAAGCAGAAACTTGAAGAATTACAAAAACCATTCTGCAAAAGATACAAGTGTTTATTCACAGTTGTCTACTTAGGTGTACCGACCAAATTGCAACATTACAGATCATTGTGGAACAATCAATTGAATGGAGCTCACCACTCCACAACGAATTTATTAACTACAAGAAAGCATTTGATAGTGTGGACAGGACAACACTGTGGAGGCTTCTTCGACACTACGGCGTGCCTGAGAAGATAGCCGACATCATACGGAATTCTAATGACGGATTAAACTGCAAAATCGTGCATGGAGGTCAGCTGACAGACTCGGATGATGTGTATTCCGGTGTCAGGCAAGGTTGCTAACTCTGACCCTTTCTCTTTCTTATGGTGATCGACTGGATTATGAAGACGTGAACATCTGGAGGAAAGCACGGTATTCAGTGCACAGTTAGGACGCAGCTGGACGATCTAGACTTCACAGATGACCTGGCTCTTCTATCACACACGCAACAACAAATGCAAGAGAAGACGACCAGACGACCAGCAGTAGGTCTCAACATACATAAAGGAAAAAGCTAAATTCTCCGATGCAACACAACATGTGCCAACCAAATCATGCTTGATGGAAATGCCTTGGAGGACGTTAACACCTTTACATATCTGGGCAGCATCATCGACAATCAAGGTGGATCCGATGCAGATGTGAGGGCGCGGATCGGCAAAGCAAGGGCTGCATTTTTACAGTTGACAGATATCTGGAACTCCAAACAACTTTCAACCGAAACTTAAGTCAGGATTTCCAATACAAATGTCAAGACAGTTCTACTGTATGGAGCGGAAACTTGAAGAACTACGAAAGCCATCATCCAGAAGATACAAGTGTTTATTAACAGTTGTCTACGGAAAATACTCAGGATTCGTTGACCAGGCACCATCAGCTACATTGCACTGTGGGAGAAAACAAACCAGATTCCAGTGGAGGAGGAAATGAGGAAGAACCGTTGGATGTGGATTGGACACACATTGCGGAAAGCACCTAACTGCGTCACAAGACAAGCCCTCAAATGGAATCCTCAAGGCAAAAGGAAAAGAGGAAGGCCAAGGAACACATTACGTCGAGAAATAGAGAATGGTATGAGAGGAATGAACAAACATTGGACAGAACTGGAGAGGGAAGCCCAGGACAGAGTTGGTTGGAAAAAACTGGTGTGAGGCCTATGCTCCATTCGGAGGTTACAAGTGTAAGGAAGTAAATAAGTAAGCAGGCCAATATTGAGCTTATGAATTTGGATTAATTTTTTCTGTTCTTTGTATCCTCATTTTTTTGTATCTCGTAAAATTTTTTATAAATCTTTTAATTATAGTTATGTAAGACAATAGAACAATACAAAACATTATTAATGGAAAAAGATAAATTAACTGAACAATGTAAAACTCTTCAACAAGAAGTAAGTGTTTTTTCAATGAGTGATTGTTATTCATCTTCATGTGTTGATAGAGTTGTTTAGAGTTCATTCATTGAAATCATAAATTGATCATGGTTGTTAAACTGCCACCATCATCATCCCTAGTATTGGGACTCATCTCGTCAGTGTCAGTGCACATCCAGGAGCTGCGTTAGTCTCATCAGCGCTGATAGCCTGGTGACTGACGAAATCTTAGCAAGGATACAGAAAGCTCGAATTGCTTTTGCCAATCTGCGTCACTTATGGCGTAGGCGAGATATCCGTTTGCTGACTAAAGGACGAGTGTACTGTGCAGCAGTTCGCTCCGTTCTCCTAAATGAATGTGAAACATGACCGTTAAGAGTAGAAGATGTTCGTAGGTTACTAGTATTCGATCATAGATGTTTAAGAAGCATTGCTCGTATATCGTGGGACAACCGAGTAAGTAAGGCTGTCGTTAGGAAACGAGTACAAGGTAAGGATGGCAGATCAATAGATGAAGTACTCCTGCACCTTGCCGGATTCGAACCTCGGCCAATCGGTCTTGCATGCGAACACCTAACCTCTGGAACACTCAGCCTGTGTATAGCGGTGTTCATGTGTCTAACTTCAATCAATTCAGTATGTTCCACAACCTCATACACTCTCTTCAGTGAGCACTGTTTCACATCGGAACACAGTTGAACTCCACTGGTCACGATTTCTCACCAAGAACTCGGAGAAGATTCTTCACGGAGCTAGTCACTAGTGAGCTAGGTATTTTGCATTAAGGGATTGCGGAGATTGTTGAGTTACCTTTTGAAATCATGAATCGCACATTGGTAGACTATCATTAGAAACCTGGAAGCGCCATAGGCAATCGTTTCGTCATCCATGTATGGGACTCATTAACGGCAGTGGGCATCCACGACTCCTGTTATTTGTAAGAATCGGACCCAGGACCTTTGGTCTGGCAAGGTTCAATGCTTAACCTCTAGACTACTGAACTGACATCCACCGGTGTTAGTGTCTAACTTAGATCAATTCACCGTGTTGCGCAGTGTTACACCAACTTGATATACTTGAACTATTACGAGTTTACCTAGTCGGAAAACGAGAGCGAGGATCGAGGATCCGCCGAGATGACATGCTACTCAAATCCGATTATCCCAACCCCCATATTGAGTAAAAATGAAAGAAGACTTGATATGAAGTAGAACCTGTATTCTACAAGCATCCAGAAAGTACGAGGTCCGAATCCAGAAGAGAATCAGGATCCCGGGACTGGGTCCTGATCATAAAACGTTACAGATAATGCATATTTATACATTTCAGTCGAATGAGAGACAACATCGAAGTCTGTGGCATTGACAGTTAAGACGACCAATAGGAAGTGACATTTGAAGTGATGCTGGAATTCAGGGTGACCAATAAGAGACAACATTGGAGCACGTGACATTGATATCTAGTACGATCATAAAATTGACCAGTAGGAATTAACCAATAGGAGTTGACCAATAATTCTGTTAGGATATTGGATGAATATCCTAACACGCAGCCTCATCCACTGTCTTCCATGGGCACTGCTCAACAATTTCTGCAACCGCAGGAGGAATTTTTAGTTCTAGTGGGGAACGATGACCAGTGGAATTAAACGGTGTGAGGTGTGAGGCAGTTATCCAACAAAGACAATGATTGATGATTGCGCAATATCGTTGATCGGTCGGAGTTAGACATTCACACCACTGAATGCCAACTTCATGGTCGACAGGTTAAAAACAGTGCTTTAAAGTTTCCCAATAGTGGTCTAATAACATTCATTAACGTAAGTATTCAGTAAAACAACTATCAGAGTTTCTAATAGTGTCGTGAAGGAGAACACAGGTGGGGCTGTGGTGCGCGCTACTTATAAGTAGTATATAACGTGAGTGACAACGTAATGTCTGGCAGGAGAAGATGGGGGAAGATCAAGAAAGGAGGAGTTAGGAAACACAATGGAATTTGTATGAAACGCATGAATAGTAGTGACAATGGATTGATGATGTTTCGGCAACAGGAACAGTCCAGTTCGATATGATGATCTGATTGATATTTTGCAAATTAACAACAATTTACGATATGGTTTTCCGATAATTTTACTGAGTAACTCTGTAATTTTCGTTTAATACAATTCGCGGTTGCCCTCACCACCTGTGTTCTCCTTCTCCTACAATAGAACCTATGACTTAATTACAAGCACGAATGATATAGTCGATAAGATGTTTCGTTAATATTCTTATTCTTATTTAGGTATTTAGCTTACAAGAAGAAAAATCCAATCACCAATCAGAATTGAATCGATTTAGAATTTATTTCGAATCATTGGGTTTAAATCCAGCTTTATTAGCCTCGACAACTACAACAGCATCAGCCACACTATCCTCTTCCTCCTCCACATTGACCACATCAACAGCCACAACACTGACCTCGTCATCATCACCAACATCGACAATGCCACCGCATACAACAAACGCGGAATCCATTGAAACTGGTTCAAATCATAGCAATAACAATAATAATAATCCTACAGTTAACATTAGTTTATTAAATCAAATCTCTGATTCCATAGCATCTAATGCAAATGTACTAATGAGTCCAACTGTAGCTAATGTACGTATTAATCATTTACAAAATCAATTGACAAAATTACGTGATGAATTATATCGAACAGAATGTGGTAAGATTTATTTTCCGTTGTTTATTTGTCTGTGTGTAGTAAATTGATTGGTTATTTGGTGCGTGTTCTTTCATCATAGGTTATTGCCGACTAGTATTCTCTCCAACCAACTCCGTGGCCGAAGGAGTTGGAGCTGGTGGATGTGAAAGGGCCCGGGGCGGTGTAGACGGTGCTGGGGACGCTGCGGGGAGGTGAGGCGAAGGCGGTATACGGCAGCCTGGACGGTGCCGCCGGGAAGACGGCGTGGGAGACGGCCACCGGGCGGCTGATGACAGAGTTCGACAGCCCGGTGGACAGGGAGGAGGCGCCGCAGAGCTTACGGTTGGCGAGGCTGTCGGCTGGTGGTGACCTGTTGGTGCTGGCTGTGGAGCTCACGATGTTGCTGCGCCGTACGCTGCCGAGTATGGATGGGGAGTCGGGGGCACAGTTGTTGGCGTCACAATTCATCGAGAGTGTGCCTGTCGCCGTGTCCCAGCAGCGGGAACTAGTAAATGCTACACGTTGGATAGATGCCGTACCCATTCCAGACCAGCGGGCAAGAACAATGACCGAAGTAGTAATCCGACATATTGTAGCGCGTCACGGAATACGGAAGGTGATATTAACTGACCAGGGTCCCTGTTTTGAAAGGCTACGACGACAGCTTATTAAAAGGGGGGACGAGTGTGGTGTGAGCTACTTATAAGTAGTATATGACGTGAGTGTCAACGTAATGGCTGGCAGCAAGAGATGGAGGATTTGATGTTAGGTGTTGTCTTGTGATTCAGATGGAAGCGTTTCGCAATGTGTATCCTATCCACCTCAAGTGCTTTACCCTAAATTCTTGTTCATCTGGAATATCTAGCTTATTCTCTGCCATAGTAGATTGTTGCTGATAGTGCGTCTGGACAATGAATGGATCCTTTAGTGTGTTAGGATATTCATTAAATATCCTAAGAGTACTTACTATTTTTGGAAGTATAATCCTATTGGTCAAAAATATGGTCGTCAAAGTCAAATACTTCAATCTTGTCTCTGATTGGTCATCTGGACTGTCACTGTCATTTCAAATGTTCTTTCTTATTGGTCGTCCTAAACTGTCAATGCCACAGACTTCAACGCTCTTTCCTATTCGACCTAAATGTGTAAATACACACTATCTGTAAGACTTCATGTTTTCGGTTCCTTCCTGCCTACCTCTCTTCTGTACTCCATCCAACGGTGTTGCGTTCTGGGAATAGTATTTCGGTCGTATTGGAATATTTAAATTCGGACGTCGGTAGGATTTAAATAGCTACGTAGCAGCATTATAACATAGTGCAACCTATTATTCTTCTCTGAGCTTTTGAGAAAAGATTTTTTGGTGTTGATGAGAATGCTGAAGGTGGTTGGCAGAATTCGTGATGCCTATTAACCCCTCCCTCACCCAATGGAGCATAGGTCGTTGAACAGCATTCTTCAACCTACTTTATCCTACGTCTTCCTTTCTAACTTTATCCAAGATGATGAGGAATTCAGAAGATTACAATTTGAGTGAACACAAAGAATGAATGCACCTGAGTCATTGCAAACGGTTTTGAGCGATATCGTTCAAGGTCTCCAACTATCGATTGCTATAATCTCACGGGCCCCAACCAGGTAGTCGACCACCTACCTACATGGCTGAGTTCATTTGTCAGTGAGGTTAGTCATACGTGAAGAATCGAGAATACTTAACTTCTTCTGCCTGAAATTTGTGCTGATGACGTTGTTGTGTTCAGACAAAGAAAGCTCCACAACCAAAACATCCAACTCAGAGAACAAAACTTCACCACAGATAAACATGTTTCTCTCATAAAAGTTGTATAGATGTTCAAAAGCATCACCGTGAGGCCCATGTGCACTGTTTATATGAAAGCAGAGTTTACTTACGATCGTAGATGCATCCACCATACTCTTCTAACCGGGTTTCACTTTTCATCTTCTCGATTTCATGAATAACATCTTCACCACAACGAAGACAATCAGTAAGATATTCCCCTTACAGTGGTTATACCATGCATGGGCCATAGTGTGGTGTGAGCTACTTATAAGTAGTATATGACATGAGCGTCAACGTAATGTCTGGCTGGCAGCGGGAGATGGGGGAAGATCAACAAGAAAGGAAGAGTTAGAACACAATGGAATTTATATGAAACGCATGAATAGTGACAATGGATTGATGTTTTGCAACAGGAACAGTCCAGTTCGATATGATGAACTGATATTTTGCAAATTAACAACGGTTTACGATATGGTTTTCCGATGATTTTACTGAGTAACTCTGTAATTTTCGTTAAATACAATTCGCGGTTGCCCCCACCTGTGTTCTCCTTCACTACAATAGGCGAGCATTTTTGTGAGCGACTACAGACTATTCTCACTTTTGATTGTACTACAAGTAGGGTATTTGTGGCTACCTCATCATTGATAGAACAATCAAAATAATATTACTATTTAAAAGTTTTACTAGTTTGGGATTTTTTCCTAACAATGTCATCTCATTGTACTAAACAGAATATGACAACTTAAATCGACATAAATGTCAGATGTGCAACAAACGTGAACAAATAAAGAAGGCCATTGTCAACCAAATCGTACGTCTCAGCCCAAGAAGAAGCATAAACGTACTCGACATGCGGTGGTGAAATTAGCCGAGTCTAACTAAATCACTTTCTCTGGTAGCTGCTTTTCAAACAGACTATGACATTCGGAGAAAGTATGTTACTATCCAGATGAATGGTGGTGCATCAGCTCGTTTTCAAATCGACACGGCATCAGATATCAACCTTAATGTCTAGAGAAACATATAACCACTTGCTGGGAAAACCGCCAAAGAAGCCATCTAAGAAAACAGCTAAAAGCGCTTCAGGTGGTGTGTTAAAACTACTGGTTGGTGAGATGCAGTGTGCATTTTCCTTCAACGGGACAAAATGTACAGGAATATGCTATCTGACAGAACTGCCAAACCTTGATCTTCTTGGTCTAGATATACTAGAAAAACTGGGAATAATGGATTTACCCATTAACAGTGTCTGCAACGTATCGTGTTCATCATTGAACACCCCGACACTTACAAAGAAGACAAGTGAAAGGTTACAAGATAGACGGAAAAGGAAGTCAGCCTCTGTTTTTCAGAATAGCCTTGGCCGCTGTACGAATATGAAAGCTCACCTACCAGCGAAAGCAGATGCCAAACCTACTTCACGTCCGAGACGCCCTATACCATATGCTGCTCTCATGAGCCTCAACAAAACTTATCGATGGGGAAGCAGCCCGATCGATGGTTGTTTAAAGATATGGCTCCTACAAAGAGTATGGGTGGCAAGAAGACACCCAGGAAGCAGTTGGACCCTAGCACTAGATCCTACGAATCTTCTCAAAGGGGAGGTGTTAGTGGGACATAGATGGAATCAAAGCACGACTACATTGCTGCGCGCTGATTGGCTAATTTCCTATGCAATCAGCGCCCTATCGACTCTGGGGAACAGCGTAGAAAATTCTCGTATTGTTAGCTGCATGCTGATTGGCTAAATCTAATCCAGTCGATCACGTGAATTTCTCTCCAGAAGCTTCTCATGTAACTGTGCTATAAATAAACTAACGTTGTATCTATTTTTGGCCTTCGCCTTCGCCATCACCTTTGGCTTCTTATTTCCGTTTAACCTTGCTATTTGGAAAATAATCTTTTCCTGTTCAACCGTGTTTATTTTGATTCTTGGGAACTTGTCCAGTGTATTGTGGTCAGAGAATAACTAAGCAATAGGATTTAGCTGGGAATCATTTAAGCTACCGTTACAACACTAGATGTTGAGTTACTTTTGACCGACCTATGTTTGAACTATCCAGTTCAAAGAATATAACTTCTCCAGAACAAGATTGTTATTTAAGTCATCAAACGACCATTAGAAACCTAGAAGCACTGACTGGACTACTGTTTCGTCCTAGTATGGGGCTCATCAGTAGCGGTGCGTTTCCATGCCCACGGGAATCGAACCCTGAACATTCGACCTTGTTCACGCGAATACTTAACTTGTAGACCCACTGAGCTGGCAGGCATCCAACAGTGCTAATATCTAAAGTGTTGCGCGTTGCGCAGCCCCAATGAAACTTAACACTGCGTAACACTATATAATATTTTAATTATTACGCAATACGTATTCTCTGCATCACTCATATATTCCCTTCATTTTTAGATAAAGAAGAATTAAAAATCCAACTTGCTGAAATCACTGCACAAAATCAAGAATTAAAACAAAAGGTAAAAAAAACGTTCAATTTTTTTCTTTATTGAATTTAAAAGTTTAAACTGTTTTACGCGCTAAATCAGCGAACATTCGTCAACAACACACAAAGCCTAATGATCATCATAAGATTCGATCAGTGGTTTGTTGTCCGTTTTCATTCAAATAAAAACTGATACTAAATGGGATCTTATACTAGTTTTTAATGAATGATGATATCAAGGTGTTGTAACGCTACTGTTGTAATGGCTTGCTTAAGATAATTCCCAGCTAAATCCTATTGCTTAGTAGTATTCTCTGACCACACAATACACTGGACAAGTTCCAAAGAATCAAAAACACGGTTGAACAGGGAAAGATTATACTCCAAATAGAAAAAGCTAAATGGAAAGAAGAAGCCAAAGGTGATGGCGAAGGCAAAAATAGATACAACGTTAGTTTATTTAAAGCATTTACATGAGAAGCTTCTGGATAGAAATTCACGTGATCGACTGGATTAGATTTAGCCAATCAGCACGCAGCTAACAACAGGAGAATCTTCTACCCTGTTCTCCAAGAATCGATCAGACGCTGATTGGATAGGAAATTAGCCAATCAGCGCTCAGCTGACACAGTCACGCTTTAATTCCATCTGTCCCACTAACAATTTTAGTCTGAGGTATTTGGAAGCGGATAGGAAATCGGATCTTGCGTTGATTTAGTAGTATAGTTAACAGGTAGGGGGACAATTGAATCAGAATAGCGTATCATGTCACTGGATCATTTGTATTAGCTCTCGTTTACCACCGAGTAAGGTGAACTCGTAATAGCATTCAAGCACATATCAATTGACGAGCGTATCAATCACATACTTGTTATACGCGAAGCAGAGTAACTTTCTGATCTCAGTAGCTTCAGTGAATAATGACGTGATAGCGTTTAAAGCAAAGCGCTACTAGGTTCGTGCGTATGATGGTGTTTCATTCTCTGAGTTCCATTTAGACTTCGACTGCATGACTAAAACATCCAGCTCAGAGAACGAAACTCTACCATAATCATCCATCCGACTGAGCTACAAATTTTCTCCGTCAGAATGAACATCAGTCAGTCAGTCAGATGCAACGTAGAACTTCGTATGTAAGTACATCAGTTCTTCATGTTGCCATACCACATCAGCACAGAGATGTAATTGTCAATTCAAATCCAATAGCAGTAGAGGTAGTAAAGGTATTAGGAGTAGTCGGAGAGGTTAGGATTAGAAGGTACTATTCAAGAAGTATAATTCAGTGAGAAAAGTCTAGAAGATTAGGATTTGACAGAACACAAAGAATAAATGCACCGGCGCCATTGCAAACGATTTTGAGCCATGTCATTCAAGGTCTCTAACCATCGATTATTATCATCTCGCGGACCCCAACCAGGTAGTCGACAATTACCGACATGGATAAGTCCATTCGTCAATGACTTCATGGATTTCTGCCATGTTCTGGTTTGGCCGCCCCTAACTTTCTTCCAACCTACTCCTACACTACAAAACGAAGCTCGACGAGGCAGTCGGTGGTTGGTCATACGCAACACATGTTCCAACCACCTCAACTGATGAAGTTTCATTACTTCATCTACTGATTTCCCATCCCTACCTAGCACCCGTTTCCTAATAACAGCGTTGCTCACTCGGATGTCCCAGGATATACGAGCAATGCTTCGGATACATCGATGATCGAAAATCAGTAACCTACGAATATCTTCTACTCTGGAATGGCCATGTTTCACAGCCATAAAGTAAGACGGAGCGAACTACTGCGCAGTACACTCGTCCTTTAATTAGCAAACGGATATCTCGCCTACGCCATAAGTGACGCAGGTTGGCAAAAGCCAATCGAGCCTTTTGTATCCGAGCTGAGATTTCGTCAGTCACCAGGCCATCGGCACTGACTCCCAAGATAAGTGAAGCGGTCAACACGTTCGACTACTTCACATCAATTCTAGGCTGATGAAGTCCCAATTGGGACGAAACGTGCACACTCTGGAATTCATCCATGTTACTCATAATCTATCTTTCTCGTATAAATTTGTGTCATAATGTTGTCTATATCATGTGTTTTTGGCTTACCACCACTCTCTCATACACTCTCTATCTGCCTTTATTTTTCTTACCCTACAATAATAGTGTACAATTTTAACAGCAAAAGCTGAAGAAACTCTACACTTAAAAGATGAATTAGATATAGCACGTGAAGAAGCATTGAATGTTGTACATTTATCGAAAACAATTGAACAATTACGTAAACATGCTGATGAAGTGGTTAGTTTACGTTTACGTTGTACACAATTAGAAACAGACAATGAAATTTGTTTAAAACGTTTAACTGAATTAGAACAAGAAACACGTTTAAATGGTAATATACGTACACAAATTAAAACTCAAGCACGTTTACAAGTTGAGAATGCCCAATATTTAACAAATGAATCAATTCGACGTGCTGAATTAGCTGAACAAAATCTATTGAAAATTCGACAAGAATTAATTAATGTTACTCGTGAGAAAGAGGTAATTTTTTTAAAAATGTGGTTATGTATGCTTATTTTTTTTTCAAAAATAATATATATAGAGAGTTAGTTAAATTCTATGTTAGTTGAGTTCATGTTTGGGGGATGTTAGATCCCCCCAGAACTCGCTTGTTAAATGCCTTATTTTGGATTTCATGTCTGCGAGCATGCGCTGATCAGTTGACCTTGAGATTTCATTTCTCACCAGGAAAATCCATGGCTGTGATTGGTTGCTATGTATTTTAGTGTGCTATTTTCGTAACTGTCCCAAGGACGTTTCTATGATGTATACATAAACGAGAGTTGTATGCTTGATTGTATTGTGATTGGTGGGTTTTTGTAGAATATACTTTCTACGCTATATCAAGACTTCTGTTTTACAGTTTGGGATTCAAGGTAGCCTATCTGGACACTGGTTCATTGTCTCGTTCGCGTTTTATCGACTAAGATGAACTCGTAATAGCTTCAAGTGTAGTACCTAGTGACGAACATAACAGTTCATGATAATCATTTTTTACTTACTTACGCCTGCTACTCCCAGTGGAGCATAGGTTGCCGACCAGTATTCTGCAGCCTGCTATTTGCTGGACCTTCCTTTCTAGTTCTGTCCAATCAGTGTTCCTTCTTCTCATGTCTCGCTCTCCACTACTCGGCGTAATGTGCTCTTTGGTCATTCTCTTTTCCCCTGACCTTAAGGGTTCCAAGTTACTCAGTTGGGTGATTTCCTCAATGTGTGTCCTATCCAGTTCTACCGCTTCATAATGATCATGGATGGTTAATTTGTTTTGTTTAAGTGTATATGGCGTGAATTTTATCATGTTAGTCAATTAGTCAGTTGTAGCGGTGAACGTAAATGCGTATGTACGTTCGTACGTACATACACATGTGTACAAGTTGTGCATACCACATGAACACAGAGAGATGGCAGTGTCATTTCAAATCCCAGAGTGGTAGAGGTTGTAGTAACAGTATCAATGGTAATGCGGAAAATTAGGGAGTGAATATGAAATTCACGAGAATATAAACCACTGAAATCGTTAAAAAATTCTAAGGAATTCAGTTAACTTAGAATTTGGTGAAAGACAAATCATAGATACAGCTGTAAACGTTGTAAACGATTTTAAGCCATATCATTCAAAGTCTCCAACCATCGACCATTATCGTCTCTCGGACTCCAAATAGGCAGTCTTCACTTACTGAAATGGCTCTGTCCACCTGTTAGTGACTTCATGGCTTGGTGTCACTTTTTAGTTTGAGTGCACCTAGCTTTCTCCCAGCCTACCGCTTCGACATCAGAGAACATCACTTGTCGAGGTAGTTGGTGTCTGGGCATACAACGCATATGCCCTAACCACCTCAACTAGTGGAGTTTCAATACTTTATCAGTTTACCTGCCATCCTTACCTAGTACTGGTTTCCGTATGACAGCATTGCTTACTCGGTTGTCTCATGATACACGAGCAATGCTTTGGAGATACCTATGATCGAAAACCAGTAACCCACGAATATCTCCTACTCTTACTGGCCATGTTTCTTAGCCATAAAGTAGGACAGAGCGAACTACTGTTCAGTGGACTGTCCCTTTTGGTTGGCAGAAAGATATATTGCTTATGCTATAAATGACGGAAGTTGGCAAAAATCAGTCGAGCCTTCTGTATCCGTGCTGAAATTTCATCAGTCACCAGGTCATCAACACAGACGCGAGTCCCCAGATAAGTGAAGCGGTCAGCATGCTCAACTGCTTCACACACTGTTCATCGCTTGTTCAAGTACCGATGCAAGCCAATCCTGAAGCTATATTTTGCATTTGGAGCCGGAGATAAGTATTGGTCAATTCCTGTTGGCTAGTTCCTACAGGTCAATTTTATGGTCGTCCTAGATATCAATGTCACGCGCTCCAATGTTGTTTCTTATTGGTCATCCTGACTATCAATGTCACTTCATATGTTGCTTCCTATTGGTCGTCTTAATTGTCAATGTCATAGACTTCGATGCTGTTTCCTATTCGAATAAAATATATAAATATGCATTATCTGTAACGCTTTATAACCAGGACCGGGTCCCGGATCCCTAGTCCGGGATCGTGATTCTCTTCTGGATTCGGACCTCGTACTTTCTGGATGCTTGTAGAATACAGGTTCCACTTCATATCAAGTCTTCTTATTTTTACTCAATATGGGGGTTGGGATAATCGGATTGAGTAACATGTCATGTCGCCGGATCTTCTATCCTCTCTCTCGTTTTCCGACTAAGGTAAACAACTCGTAAATAGTTCATCAAGCATATCAAAAGTTGACGTGTTTAAGTGCAGGCGTAACACAAACATTATGACTAATTTATTTCTATTTTGTTTAATTTTCGTTTTGTGTGTCTTATTTTTAAAGTGTATCTTCGCTGAACTAACTCGTCTGAAATCTTGTTGTGAAGGTCTTCAATCTTGTGTAGAAACGTCGAATTGTAAGTTACATTCTTGTGTTGTTATTTTCCTCCTAATTTGATGAATTCCATTGTCATTTCACTTATGTGTTAGTCATGTGATCTTGAGTAGTGTTAGGGTTTAGACTATATAGACAAACAGACAGACAGATACAACTCAGAACTTCGTACATCAGTTCAGGTTGCCATGCCCCATCAGCACACAGACGCAACTGTCAGTTCAAATCCAACAGTTATAGAAATAATAGAATTATTAGCAGTAATGGAGAATATTAGGGAGCGGAGATTTGATTCGAGAAGTATAATTCAGTGAGATAAATTTAGAAGGAGAAAGGTAGAGATTATGAGGAATGTAGAAGCTTAGAATTTCGTAGAACACCGGCGCCATCGCAAACGATTGTCAGCCATGTCATTCAAGGTCTCTAACCATTGGTGACTATCGTCTCGCGGACCCCAACCAGGTAGCCTACATCTACCAACATGACTCAGTCCACTTGTCTCTCAGTGACTTCATGGATTTCTACCATATTTTGGTTTGACCGCCCCTACGTTTCTTCTAATCTACTCCTACAGTGCAAAACATAGCTCGTCGCAGCAGCACGTAACACATGTCCTAACCACCTGAACTGATTAAGTTTCATTACTTCATCTATTGATTTTCCATCCGTACCTAGAACTCGTTTCCTAACGACATCATTGCTTATACGGTTGTCCCATTGATACACAAGCAATGCTTCGAAGACATCGATAATCGAAGACTTAGTAGTAACTAACCTTTCGAAAGTCCTCTAACTCTTAACTCTCTTTTTATTTTTTTTTTACAGACGGTACACCAGCTATGCAATCACAAATGTCAAATTTACAAGAAGAATTAAGTCGTTTGCGTACATCAGTTTATAGTAATGAAATAATAATGGGCAGTGGACATAGTATCAATGAAATTGGTTTCGATGTTACTATTACTCCTACTACTACTACTACTACTCCTAATGCTGATAGTACTACTAACAGTAGTATATTAGGCGGAGATGATCACAATGTGGACAAAAATTATTATTATTCTCGTCGTACTCACAGTACTACTAATTCTGTCACAACACAGAATAAATTAATGAACACACATGATAATGCTCGCGAGAATAATAATTGTTCCAGTACTACTACGCAGAGTTTACCTTTATCATCCACCAATTCCTCTCAACATCATCTACCCATTGATGATCGTAATCACAGTAATCATGATGCTAATACGTTGTTATATACGGATTTGTTAACTAAGTTAACCCAAAAAGAAACAGATTACATTGAAATGGAACAAAAATATCGTGGTTATTTATGGAAAGCACGTGAAGTGATTCGTCTGTTAGAACGTCAATATCGACAGCATCAACATGATTGTGCAATGTATAAAGAGGAGAGAAAAATCATGATGACTACTGATTCGAACAATACTACTAACAATAACAACGATAGCAGTAGTAGTAGTAATGATAAAATGCATCAAGAAATTGCTCAGTTACGTGAGTTATTAGTTGAGAAAGAACGTGTTATTGAGAAATTAGAAGTAAGTGGACAGGTAGCTAATAACTTTACATTTTTTGTGAAATGATGAATTGCTCTCATTAAAACAAACTTTACTTTTTTCAAGATAAACAGGATCTTGTGTTTTTGTACACCGGAAAAAATTCGAATGCTTCGATGCCAGCTGAAAAACAGTGAAAACCTACTGTCACAATCAAAACATCTAGCTTAGAAAAAGAAATTTTACCATAATTCATGTATTTGATTGGTCAAGTTAGTTAAAGCGCCATATACCGATTGACCTTGAGTGGACCAATCAGAATTGAAGTAGCGCTTCGTGTATTTTGCGCGAAATTTAAGGCATACTTAATACTGAAAACTTGTATGTTGACGGAAAGATGGTACTTATTAAAATGCTTGAAATTAATAAAAAGTTTTTTTATTTTGAAACGAAAAAATGGAATTAACAATGGTTTTTTTTTAAAAACTAAATCACTATTCGAAAATCAAATGGTGTGAAAAGTTGCTCGATGTAACTTAGTGCCCGTATTCAAGAGTGTTGTCGAGTGAGAGCTTATGGCGAACTGTCACCGGAATTCTTTACTTCAAGTGGTGTCCGTCTGGGATGTCCACTTTCTCCATTCCTGTTTAATTTTATTATAGACACGCTCTTAGATATAACCTTATCGTCGTCTGAATTTTCGGGAGTAGACCTTTTACCAGGTGACTTGCTTATCGACACAGAATATGCCAATGACATAGTCCTACTTGGTAAAGACGCTGACGAAATGCAGAGTATTCTGACCACCCTACGCAACAATACAAGCATGTTCGGGATGCGGTTTTCCCCATCGAAATGCAAAATGTTGCTTCAAGATTGGGTTGCATCGGCACCTGAACTAGTGATAGGGAGTGAAGTAGTCGAACGTGTAGACCGCTTCACTTATCTTGGGAGTCTCATCAGTGCTGATGGCCTGGTGACTGATGAAATCTCAGCATATCAGGGTTATTCTGCTTTTGTTGATTGCTTTATGCGTTACCTGACTGTCCTTTAAAAGGGTCATCAGTATAGTATACTTGTACCATAATGTTAATACTGGAGCAGTTTCTGAAGATCCGGGGTCCATCTATGGAGCCGCAATAATGTAAATGCAGTCTGATGAGTAACGTTCACTTTATGCCATATTCCAACTCATTTTACCGAGTTGAAAATTTTCTGTCAGTGTTTTCAAATATGTTTAGATGATGTTATTTGGGACGATGATGAAGCTTTGTGAATAAACTCTGCAGTTCAGAAACTGTAACACTTCTAAAGTCTTCATTATAGGGTTGTAGCGATTGTTGAGTTTCATTGAATTAACTCATCGACTAATGTTTAGTCAGTCAGTTACAACGCAGAGCTTCGTACGTATGTACTTACGTACATCAGTTCAAGTTGCCATATTACATTAGCACAGAGAGATGGAATGGCCAATTCAAATCCTATAGTAGTAGAGGTAGTAAATGTATTATCAGTAGTCGGAGAGATTAGAGTTGGACGATATTATTCGAGAAGTGGAATCTAGTGAAATAAACTTGAAAAGAAAAAGATAAAGGTGATGAGGAACTCTGAAGGTTAGGATTTGAGAACCTCACGATCAACCGAGTTGAATGCCGCCTTAATGTCCATGAAGACAACTATTGTCGGACGCCTAAATATGTGTCTGTGTCCCAGGACCTGTCGTAGTGTAAAGATATGGTCTATACAGCCCCATCCGGATCGAAAACCAGCCTGGTTTTCTTCACTCTGCTCTTCACGTCCTCTAGTTAGGCGTTTAAGTATAATCCAGGTTAACAATTTAGAATCTATATTAGTTAGACTGATTCCTCACAAGAGGACCTTTGTCCTTTCTTATAAATTGGTACAGGATGACTGTGCTTCATCGTAGTATGCAACTCATAAGCAATGAGCGTCCACTGCATCACAAGCGGTAATCAAACTCTTTGTTCTCACGTGCGAATGCTTAACCTCTCAATCATTGAGATGGTATCCAACGGTGTTAATGTGTCCCCATACTAGAATGAAACAACCATCCAGCGCTTTTAATGAAACTTTTAAACCCACGCATTCTGATATTAACGCACTAATTTATCTGATACTAAAACTTTTCAGAATGAAAGAAGAAGCTTTATTGCTAAGTTTTCTAGGCTTACATCCAGAAAACAAGGTTAATTATAGTTTTCTTTTGGAGATCGCTGTTATAAAAGCTACTTGAACACTTTAAGGTTAATGGTAAAACTAATTGTTGTACTGTACTGTACAGTTGTACTGTATGGAGCGGAAACATGGAGAACTACCAAAGCCATCATCCAGAAGATGCAAGTGTTTATTAACAGTTGTCTACGCAAAATACTACGGATTCGTTTGCCAGACACCATCAGCAACAACGTACTTTGGGAGAGAACACACCAGATTCCAATGGAGGAGGAAATCAGGAAGAAGTGCAGTGGAAGTGAATAGGACACACGCTGTGAAAAGCTCCTAACTGCGTCACGAGACAAGCCCTTACATGGAACCCTCAATGCAAAAGGAAAAGAGGAAGGCCAAGGAACACATTACGCCGAGAAATAGAGAAAGCTATGAGAGGAATGAACAAACATTGGACAGAACTGGAGAAGGAAGCCCAGGACAGAGTTGGTTGGAGGAAACTGGTGTTTGGCCTATGCTCCATTGTGGGTAACAGGCGTAAGTAAGTAAGTAATTGGTAATCATTCAACACGACATGACATATCACCTACCACTTTTCTAATGCGTTCTAGACAACTTCTTTTGAATGGTAGTAGTAGTCAAACAAAGCATTTTCAACTATTTACACACAGAATTCACAAGGTCTCTTACTTACATTTAATTAATGATGAGACTGGGTGAAAGAATGTTGAATGAATCATTTTTTAAAATGTGATCTATATATAACATGCGTTGTTTTTAATTGTGAATGGCTTCACTTGTTCCGAAGACTTTTGTCCGCCTTTCTAACTTTTAATGTTTTCTTTTTATTACCTGTAGACTCATCATGAACAAGTAAGACGTCATCGTGAAGCAGAAGAACGTATTCTACTCACTGCATGGTATAATTTAGTGATTAAATCAACTAGAACCAGCATTGAATCAGATTTGAAACAAAGTTCTCATACTTATCCTGAAACATTGAACAGCGATACTACTACTACTAATAATAATAGTAACAATGTATTATATAACACTGAAAATAATTTATCTTTCTTAGCTCGACAACGAAATATTCACTTGAAACCATCGATCGATTTAACTTCATTGGTTACGGCGAGAAAATAAAGATTGTGTTGTTGCTGTTGTTGTCGCTGTTGTGGTCTGTCTGTCTGTCTGACTATGATTTCTTTCACATTCAGTACACATCACATCATAATGCCTTCCTATCCTATCCATTCATCGACCTATCTATCTAACTATCTAACATCCTTGTGCATTTTTCACTAGGATCCATTACTGAATTCCACAATCAATCAACAACAAAAAAAATTATTTTTCCGAGCATTTCAATCTTTTTTTTAGAAAACAACAAACTAATATCTCCTCTTCGTCGTCACCTTATATATACACTGTGAATGCAGCTCTCCCTCCAAACTTGTTTGTATTTTTTACACCTTTTTTTCCAAAACTTAATTTTAATTGGTCAATTCTGAAGTGACCTTCACAGACACAACCAATAATAATATTAATAATAATCAAGGTCAGGGCTGTATCAGTCTGTCCAATCAGCGAAAGGAATTCATATGATGTTGAATTACAAATAAATCAATGTGAATTATGACAACTTGTGTATGATTATGTTTTTTCTAAACAAAAAAATAATGATTTCTTGTTGATTTATTTTCTAAATCTGTTTATATTTTTTACTTCATTGATCATTGTTGATTTCAGAAAAGCCAGTCAGTCAGTATTGCTGTAGCGCGGAATCTAATAATAATAATAATATTTCTGTTTTATTTTTCATCCCATTTCAATAACTGATCAATTCCTGTGTCCTTTTGTGTTTTGTACGAATTCGGTTTTTTTTTTGTCCCGCAACCTTTTTCCAGATTATTTTTGACTTGTTGGTCAAGTAAGTATCATCATTTGATTTGATTGAATTTCTGTAATTTTTTGACGGAATTCCGTTTTTTTTTCTCCTTCAAGCTGATTATGAATTAGTAAAGAATTGTTTTATGAGAGTATTAGTTGTAGATTCTTGATTTTGTTCGAGCTCAGAAAAAAGTAATCTAAATACTGTTTGTACTAATCGGTTCTTCCTGTCTACCTGGTTGGGGTCCGCGAGATGAAAGTCATCAAATGGTTAGAGACTTCGAACGACATGGCTCAAAATCGTGCATCCATTCGTTGAGCTCTCTCAAATCCTAATCTTCTGGAATCGTCAGCACCTCTACGTCTATCTTTCTAACCTTATTTCACTGAATTATACTTCTTGAATAATATCTTCAAACCTTAGTCTTCTTCATTACCAGTAATACCTCTACTATCTTTAACACTATGGGATTTGATTTGACATTCGCGTCTTTGTGTGCTAATGTGGTATGGCAACCCTGAACTTATGTACATACGTACGAAGTTCTACGTTGCAATGGACTGACTCCTATCTTGAGCATGTGTTTTATCGTAGCAAGACTCAAGTGTTTACTATAAATCAGATAACGTAGGATATCTGTTTCATGCGGGAATTTTCAATATCAGCCAAGGAAAATAAATCGAACGCTGTAATTTATAGAATAAGCAAACTTTAAACATGTAGCACGTATTAAGTAAGTCAAGACGCTGCAAGATTAAAATATGAGTAGATTAGTGCATTGGAGAAGGACTTAGTAGACGCCCAACTTCGAGATCAACAGGCCGGATTTCGTAAGGATCGATCGTGTACTGACCAAATTGCTACATTACGGATCATTGTGGAACAATCAATTGAATGGAACTCACCACTCTACATCAACTTCATTGACTACGAGAAAGCATTCGATAGCGTTGATAGGAAAACACTGTGGAGGCTTCTTCGACACTACGGTGTGCCTGAGAAGATAGTCAACATCATACGGAATTCTTATGATGGATTCAACTGCGAAATCGTACACGGAGGTCAGCTGACAGACTCTTTCGAGGTGAAGACCGGTGTCACGCAAGGTTGCTTACTCTCACCCTTTCTCTTTCTCCTGGTCATCGACTGGATTATGAAGACGTCGACGTCTGGAGGGAAGCACGGTATCAACTGGACAATTAGGACGCAGCTGGACGATCTGGCCTTCGCAGATGACCTGGTTCTTCTATCTCACACGCAACAAGGAATGCAAGAGAAGACGACCAGTGTAGCAGCAGCCTCTCCAGCAGTAGGTCTCAACATACATAAAGGAAAAAGCAAACTTCTCCAGTGCAACACAACATGCACCAACCCAATCGTTATTGATGGAGATGCCTTGGAGGACGTTAATCCCTTACATATCTGAGCAACATCATTGACAATCAAGGTGGATCCGATGCGGATGTGAGGGTGCGGATCGGAAAAGCGACGGCTGCATTTCTACAGTTGAAAAATATCTGGAACTCCAAACAACTTTCAAACAAAACCAAAATCAGGATTTTCAATACAAATGTGAAGACAGTTCTACTGTATGGAGCGGAAACATGGAGAACTACCAAAACCATCATCCAGAAGATACAAGTGTTTATTAACAGTTGTCTACGCAAAATACTTCGTATTCGTTGGTCAGACACCATCAGCAACAACGAACTGTGGGAGAGAACACACCAGATTCCAGTGGAGGAGGAAATGAGGAAGAAGCGGTGGAAGTGGATAGGACACACTCTACGAAAAGCACCTAACTGCGTCACGAGACAAGCCCTCACATGGAACCCTGAAGGCAAAAGGAAAAGAGGAAGGTCAAGGAACACATTTCGCCGAGAAATAGAGAAAGATATGAGAAGAATAAACAAAAATTGGTACATTATCGGAGAGGGAAGCCCAGGACAGAGTTTTATGGAGGAAACTGGTGTTTGGCCTATGCTCTATTGTGGGTAACAGGCGTAAGTACATTGCAGCATTGGTTCCCTGAACCGAACAATTTTGGAAAATAACTTAAACTACTAAATAATAATAAGTAGTGTGGCGTTATTGGCCCAAAATTAACTGGACAGCAAGCATGTGACTTACCGAAAAAAAATGTAGTTTGTCACTCAAATTAAGAACAATAGGCTAGTAATGATATTAACCTGAAAAGTGAATTATCCCATCTCTTACTTTTTTTAAAGAAAATTGTTAAAATATAAAATAGAGCAGTTGGTTTTGTTTTGACTCTGTCAATCAAATAGGTTGTGCCTTTTATGAATAGATAGATAAAGTCTATACAATGAACACTGTACACCCAATTTTTCTGTAATAGTTTATAAATGAATCGCAATAAGTTATTTTCGAAAGTTTTCAGTATGATATTGACTATTCTTTATTGATAAGAAAGGTTGAATAAATATTTTTCTTTATTTGTTATGAATAGTATGTTGGAGTTGGTGTTTTTTAGATCATAGGAAAGTGAACAGTTATTTTATTTTATTTTATGATATCATTACTGTGTATATTGAACAATCGAACTATAAATCGAATCGTTGAACTTTATCACTGAAGTCAACGAATGTAGGATTTAATTTGTCCTACAGATATACTTCTAGAACTGTAAACGCAATATTGGCGAGCACAGAGTGAGTCTATGGGAAAGCTATAATCAGAACAAGACCAACTTTTGCTTCAAACTTTATCTGTTTCTAAACATAAAAACAATTAGATTAGTACAATAAATAAGGAAATTACAGTTATCAAGTGAACTCAGTAAACATACCGACCAATATAGCGTGCCTTTGGAAATAAATAAAACTATGAGTCACATCAATAAAAGATGATAACAATGTCCTCTGATTAGTAGGTCATGTACAACAAAGAAAGTTTACAGACACGTCAGATCAGATCAGATCACGTGCTGGGCGCTTAAACCACAGTTTGAATGGTTATTTATGACGTAACTACAATTAGTTATGGAAATAACTAACAACGAACTTGTGATGGATGTGAGCTCATCAATTCTGTGATGGTCGATATTCGACATAACTCCTAAATTTCATATAGTGCTCATCCCGATGACCACCAGATGCCCAACAGTGTATAAATCAGAAGGCCAATACGAAGCGTTGATTGGGTTTATTATCGCACTACACACAAAACCACAGGCACATGAAGTGAAAATGATATTCAATTGCGGAACAGTCGACGAGTAAGCTAGACATGCGATAAACGGTGTACACACATATTCAAATAGAAACAACCAAGATACAGGCGAACAGTTGACATGGTCAAAAGACAAATGAATGGTAACTCAGGGAGAATGGATTAGTTATTTTTTCCGAAAACTCCATATAAAAGTACATTCACTACAAATTATCATTTAGATAGCTGAATATTGTATGAACATCGTCTTGTAACGATTAACGATATGGCATATCACACTAGGCATAATTGTACTCTTTTAGCCACTCATTTTCACTCGAATTCCTAGAGTAAACGATTATTGAGCAAACGATATTTAGTAGCATGATATTGAACTCAAATTTATATGAGCAATTAAATATGCGATGACATAAATCCTCCTTTCAACTTATATACATCATACTTTGATGAAATCCTTTAATGCGACGGTGTTGAGACGAAGCTTTATACGAATTTAGTTGGGTGTGTTTATTTCATACAATCATTCCCGCAGACAATAAAAAGCGAAGTGAAATGAAGTGGAGAAAGCAAGTAAGCCAACTTAATGTGACAAGTCACAACGACTAAGTATTTATAGTCAGATAAAACTAAGCTGGACTTAGGATGATTGAATGAAGCAATGTATACATGCCCTCAAGTACAAGCAATCAAGGTCATGAGTATATCATTGACACAGTTTAAAGTTGAGTGAATTACTACTCATGAAGAAAAGTTTAATCCATCATAAGAATTCCGTATGATGTTGACTATCTACTAAGGCACGCTGTAGTGTCGAAGAAACCTCCTATCCATGCTATCGAACCGTAGTGACGCCAATTTGCGTCATTTATGGTGAAGGCAAATCCTATGAGATCAACATATTGGTAGTTAGTACACATGCTACAGATAATTGATATTTGTAACGTTGTTTCCTTCAAAATCGTAACACACTATACACCACTTTATTTATGCAACACAAATTGTTATACATCTACACTAGTTAAAAGGTATTTTAGACAGATTATCAGTAATCATTGGTTAAATCAAATATTAATATTTTATCAATCAGTATGTAAATTTGTATACTTTGTTATTTTACAAACGCATTCCTTTTCTTGTTTCGTATTGTGGTGCTGTGGTGCGAACTACTTATAAGTAGTATATAACGTGAGTGTCAACGTAAAGTCTGGTAGCATAATATGGGGGGAAGATCAAGAAAGGAAGAGTTAGAAAACAATGGAATTTGTATGAAACGCATGAATAGTGACAATGGATTGAGGTTTTGCAACAGAAACAACAGTCTAGTTCGATATGATGAACTGATCTTTTGCAAATGAACGATTTACGATATGGTTTTCCGATTTTACTGAGTAACTCTGTAATTTTCGTTAAATGCAATTCGGTTGCCCCACCTGTGTTCTCATTCACTACAGTATGAGTCTAAATTAGGGAAATTTTACTTAACTTACATACGCCTGTTACTCTTCATGATGGAGCCTAAATGTTATACATGCACGTGAACATGTCTATTTGATGATATACTTGAACTATTACAAGTTTACCTTGGTCGGAAAACGATTGCGAGGATCTGGGGACACGACATGCTACTCTAATCTGAGTGTCACAACCTCTATTGAGTGAAAAAAGAAGACTTGATATGAAGTAGGACCTGTATTCTACAAGCATCCAGAAAATAGGAGGTCCGAGTCCAGAAGAAGACATGGACCCCTAACTGAGGATCCAGATCATAAAACGTTACAGATAATGCGTATTTATACATTTTGGTCGAATAGGAAACAGCATCAAAGTCTGTGACATTGACAGTTAAGGCGACCGATAGGAAACAACATTTGAAGTGACATTGCTAGTCATGATGACCAATAAGAAACTACATTGAGGTGCATGACATTGATAGCTAGGACGACCATAAAATTGACCAGTAGGGATTGACCAATAACCTAACAGTATGGGACTCATTAGCAGTGCGCATTCATGAATCCTGCAGCTTGCAGGATAATTTCAATGTGCGAAAAACACTAATCTTCATAACTCTACTTGAAAATATCGTAAAATGTG